AGAGAGAGAGAGAGAGAAAGAGCGGGCGAGGAAGAGCGGAACAAAGCGCGAAAGAACGGGTTAGTGAGAGAGATAGACGGAGAGAGGCATACAGCAAGATAAAGAGAGAGAGAGCGCGCACTAAAGAGAAAGAGAGAGAGAGAGAGCGCGCACTAAAGAGAAAGAGAAAGAGAGTGAGAGAGAGGGAGAGGGAGCGTAAATATATCTCCTAGCAGCATGCGGACAGGCGTCGTCAATCAGACTTTACTAGCTGATACCCTATTATAACTATCCAGATCTAGCTTTATGTTGCTGCCTCCTGCATATTCACGGTAATAGGTTGTTATAGATGATCATATAATGCTCGTCCTCCGCGTAGAACTAAAGGGTTAACTGGTAAATCTGGCGCATGCGTTTCGTTCTAGAAGTGTGTGGTCGCGTTCTAGGCGAGATGAATAGATATATTGCATATATCTATATTGAATTACGAGTTTTAATCTATTTAGTAATGTGGAAATTTGTTATTCCGTAGTTATAATAATATACACAACCGCTGTCTATTACGATATTGTTCAACGAACCATGAAACTGCGTATATCAAATATATATAAATCGAAAATTTGTTTGTTATGAAGAACTAACCAAACTAACCAACTAACTTCAATCATAGATTACTAATAATATAGGCAGGTTTACATCGATAGGACGCGCATAACGCAAGCCGTGTACCTATATGCATGCTGATTGTAAAGTGTATTTAACACATAGTAGTATACGGCTGCCACATAATGGCTACTTATAATGTATTACATTAATCAGGTTGTTTACATGTTTACATTGTCTACCTTTATAGAGATTGCACGAAAATGTTAACCCGTGCTTTTGGGTTTCTTATATGTGTATCAAAGGTCATAATCGAAAAAGGATAGTTGTGATCAGCTATATTTACGGTGACAATACTTTGAATTTATGGAGTTAACTGCAACTCGAAGTTGATACCTGATGAGTTTTTGATAGTGATAGTGATAGTGATAGTTGGAGGTGGTGTTTTAACATTCAACCTTGGGCAGACTGATATAAACTAGTGCCATACATTGCTTATTAGTCAATATCTATAAAGACGTTTCAATTAGTGCAATAAATTTTTGATTAGGGATGCCAAGTTCACATGTATTGCACATTGCACACATGTAGCTCCATTCATTAGAATAAACATGATTTAATATTCAATATATATTCAATATTTAATATTAAATATACACACCAGACATACAAAGGTAATATACAGTTGCTATGTACGAAACACGACATTACACAATTAAACCATCGCTCTTCTATTTTAAAATATAGTTTATAACTATGATACGCACACACGCACGCACACGTGCATTTACTCTCAAAGATATGCGAATGAATCACAGCAATACAGCCAAGAATTGTTTTCCTCGAAAAGATAAAACTTTGTACGGCACAAATAAAAATGGCTACCCTCTCATGCTACATACATAGATCAAAACTACTAGGAAGACTACTCAGTTACTACCACGACAAAAATATGAAAGTGGAAGTTATATTTCTAACGCATAAACTAGAACACATGTGCATCCACACATCCTAAGCTGCACGAGTGGATAGCTTGTACGGACTGAGACAGGTTACCCACCTAGGACCACAAGCACTTGGATCAATT